AACATCCACCTGTTATGAGAAAGCTGCCTGAGAACTCTGATGTGCAAGGCTCTCAAGGCCTTCATGTTTGTCACCTTTACTTGTAATTAAAAATAACCTGAGAACCTCTGCTGTTCACAGAAACAGGCTGTGAGAACCTGCTCCTCACAGCTGCCTTCTAGGCCATCCCTGAAAAAATCTCCAACAACTCCTATTCTTTAAAACTTCTTCCCAATAATCCTTTAGCCTCAACCCCTCTGCTTTACCACCCAAATCTGCAGATGTTGCTGTCCTTTGAAACTGATTTTTCAAAATTCCAGAAAAAATCAGAAACTGTCATCCTTGTGCTACCTGTACTGCAGTTACAGGCACCAACATGTAGAACTGCAGAAGCATTTCAATTCCCCGTGGCTCAGATAACAGAAAAGCCTTTTTTTTAACCCAGATTGAATGTTGTTGAGTGAAACTTCTTTGGAAGTTTCACTCCAGTGATGTCACCAAGCTCTGTTCCTGTTGCAGACTCCTCCAGGCAGGCGCTGGCAGCTCCTCTCCTGAACCTGCCCCCAAAGAAAAAGTAAGTGCTGCCTTCCCAGAGCTGCTTTCTCTGGTGGATTTGCACAGTGGGAATTGCTGCTCAGCCTGACATTGTGCCAACATTCCTGTTGTAGAAATGCAGACTATTACGAAAAGATCTCTGACCCCTTGGACCTTGCCACAATTGAGAAGCAGATCCTGACCGGTTACTACAAAACTGTGGAAGCTTTTGATGGGGACATGCTGAAGGTCTTCAGGAATGCAGAGGTGAGGCTCTGTCAGGGCTGAAAGCTGCTGCACTGGCAGCAGGGGTGTGCCCTCCTTTAATGCTCTTACAGGAATAAAGGAAGAAATTTATTCTGGAGGAAGAGAACTTGTGCTGATCCATTCCTGATGAGGGCTCAGTTGCAAATCATGAGCCCTTGAGTGCCTTGGGTCACAGAGAAGGTCAAGGATACTCATGAGTAGCTGATTTAAAGAAATTTCTCCTTCTTTTGGAAGGGATACCCTATTTTTCAGTGTGAGGTGTCATGGAATCACAGAATCATTGACTGATTTGGGCTGGAAGGGACCTTAAAGCTCATCCCATTCCACCCCTGCAATGTGCAGGGACACCTTCCACTACCCCAGGCTGCTCCAAGCTCTGTCCAACCTGGCCTGGAACCCTTCCAGGGATCCAGGGGCAGCCACAGCTTCTCTGGGCACCTATGCCAGGGCCTGCCCACCCTCACAGGGAATATATCCCATATATCCAGCCTCAATTTTCCTTTTTCCAGTTTGAACCCATTCCCCCTTGTCCTGTCACTCCAGTTCCTGATGAACAGTCCCTCTCCAGCTTCCCTGGAGCCCCTTCAGACCCTGCAATGGGCTCTGAGGTCTCCACACAACCTTCTCTTCTCCAGACTGAACATTCCCAGCTGTCCTAGCCTGGCTTCAGTCCCCTCAGCAACTTTGTGGCCACCTCTGGACTTGCTCCAGCATTTCCATGTCCTTCTTACATTGTGGGTCCTGGAACTGGACACAGCACCTCAGGTGGAGTCTCAGGAGAGCAGAGCAGAGAGGAAAAATCCATTTCCTTGATCTGCTGCCCATGTTCCTTGGATGCAGCCCAGGACAGTGGTGGTTTCTGGGCTGGGAGCACACAGGGCCAGGGCACGTTGAGTTTTTGGTCACCCATCACCCCAAATCCTCCTCCCAGGGCTGCTCTCAGGTCCTCCCCTGCCTTTGTCACATCCATGCACCTGCTGGCCAGAGTCAGGAGGGAGATGGAGACTTCACCCCAGGTTTGGGGCTGCAGCTGTAGAGAGAACACCTCCCTGGAGCTAAATAGAAAATAAAGCACTTTTTGGTGACTTTTTGGAGAAATACTATGGCGGGAAGTCCCTGATGGGGCTGACATTCACCAGCTGTGCAAGGCCTACTACAACAATGGCCAGAATCATGAGGGAGATGGAGAGGCCGCCCCAGCTTTGGGGCTGCAGCCATAAGGAAAACCCCTCCCAGGTGCTAAAGGGGAAATAAAGTGTTTTTGAGGGGATTTTCTGTTGGTTTTTATAGAAATACTATGGCAGGAAGTCCCTGCTGGGGTGGGCATTCACCAGCTG